AAATTACTATAATATCCACAAGACCCCTCTCAGATTATAATCATCACATATTCACTAGTGACGATCTCCAAAAGGTATTTCTTGGAGTTCTAGTGAGAACCAGTAACCACTGGAGTTCAACCGAGTCTATTGTGAAATAGTAACTCACTGATGACAATGGTGGACGATGGTACTCAATTTTGTGGATTAGTTGAAGTTAGACATTAACACCATTGGATACCGGTTGGCTTAATGGTTTAGAGGATAAACACTCACGCGCGAGACCGATAGGTGTTGTGTTCGAATCTCGCTGAGTGGGATCGTGGATTTGCACTTCTTAAGAGTCCCATACTGGGACAAAACGGTCATCGAGTGCTTTCAGGTTTCTCATGGTGGTTTAACTTCAATTGACTCATGAATTCATCCACTAAATTACTAAAAAAAATTATAGATTTAATTAGTTTCCTAGTGAAAATCAAAAAAGTAAGTGGATTAATCTTTTATTCTTAGTATTATCGATTTTACAATTATATTATCTCACTTCCTAAGTGTTATTATAATCGATATATAATCATATGCTTAGATTACAATATTTCTCTTGTATAATTCAATATTAGAAACCAAGTGTATTATGTCCTGATTAGTGTGATTTCAATCTATGGACAAAAAAAGAACAAAGAACACGTTTCAATTATATAGTCATTGACATGTGACTTACAAAATGCATGTAAAATAGATCGTTTTTATTTAAAAAAAGTTCTTTTAATATGGTCAATGTCATTTTCTGACACAAGGTATTAGGGAATGATGATAATTTAGCTGATGAGGTTATGAATCTTCATCGACTGAGATGATTAGGCACATGTTACGTATGCTTGAACATTGATTACCACGACGTGCAATGCTGACAAGTGTTGGAGATGGTTGGAAGAAAGTTAGAGGGGGCGGTCAAATTGGCCAAAATATGATATCAGTTCACAAAGTCACGAACTTCTAATCTAAACCATGTTGGTTAATGCAGACTACTTGGTCGGAGTGCGCGTGATGACTAGCGTGACCAATGGTTGTAGATTGTGTGTGACATGGTTCAGAATCGATCACAATGGTGTAGGTGCATACACTCTCTATCTTCCCTTAAATTAAGAGATTGAAATCGCTTCATACTTTCTTTCTACGAACGATTTTTTTCTTCCTGTACTATATCCTTATTACGATCTTTCTTTTATATATTACTATCATTGAAGTAACTACTATGAATTTGGTATTCATCTTACTGTGCTAATGAGGTTTAGCAACTTGGACCGATGCATATATGTGACTGATCCTACGTTGTAGTTGACTGACTGACATTTGCTAACGATTAAATAAAATTTTAAAGCTTTCCATAATTAATTAAAGTATACGGATCGATAAATGTGAAGGGTAATGCAAAAAGTCAATTTGGAATTTAAAATCTACATTACGTTTACTTTGAAGCCTGTTAATTAATTTTAAGGAAAAAATGCGAAAATATTTTGTGAAATGTGTGTAAAATCTCAGTCTCTGATTAGTTTATAGGGTTTGGTGAAGTCAACGTATCAGTCAGGAGTTGAAGAGGGAGAGTGATTATGAATACAGTGATCTCGAGTGGTGTTGGAAGTACGAGGGTGGTTAACACTTCCCGGTCGCTCACTCCCTGGAAGGGTTATTCTAGAGGTAGCTGAAAAGAAAATCGGGTTAGAGGTGGCCTTAGCGATCTGAGAGCGTGACCGCAGTGCTCAGAGCACTACTGTTTGAGGGCGGTCACACACGACCTTTTTGTGAGTAATTTTCGTGTTAACTCCGTAATTGTTGAGACCTTACCGCCGGTGACAGATATCCGTGGGATAAGGTGAGGTGTGCATCTTTAGAGTCGACCTTTTCTAACCCCACTCTTCCTCGTGGGATGGCAGCATCGCTATTATACTGGTCGTCTGAAGGAAACACCTTACTGCTGTCACACCTCTGTACAGTCAGCAGTACAATTTCGCCTTCGGACCTTGGGTTTGCTGCTTTTATTCTTAGCGTTTTTCAACCTACCTGCCTGGTATAGTAGGATCTTGAGGGACGATTGTTCCAACCGTTATAGCTCGACCGGTTCATTACTATAGGCAAGCCCGACCGCCACATCAAAGTAGCAGAAACGGTCAGCAAATCAATGTGTACCAGCATTTGTTTGATGAATATTAGTTGGATAAAGCATGAATGATCATTTGACAAGATTTGTAAGTTATAAGTTAAATAATGTACACCTGAATAGCTAAAGAAGTGTTCAACACCTTATGGAAGCTACATGGATTCAAATAGAAAGATGAAAGTATTGTACTATAAAAGTATTGATATGATTTTCTTAAATCCAAAAGACATTAACACATTCAGTCAATAGTGTAAGCAAAATTATCAACATCATGGTACAATTTGCTAATGTTAGCTGGTTGAATAAAATTAATAGAAAGGTTTCAATTTAAAGGTTTCTCTCTAGCTTGTGGTATTCAGTAAACTGTACCTACAAAATATGCGTAATCAATGCCATCAGTACGATTAAAACCAGCTTCAACCATTATTTCTATCATAATCACTAATAATGAACTATTCCGAGTTTGACTGATCCTGTGTAGCACTGGGATATTCACAGAAATTAATCTCTGTGTAATCGATCTTGTATTTCCTGGTCCTTATTTCAGCGCAAGCTCAATATCTCAAGTTTTAATATGGTTATTGGTCTTAATGGTTTTATATTATTGTGTAGATATTAAGTTATTCGGCTTAGGAACAATAAGGACTCTGAGTGACAAGTTTGGATCTCACGAGTGACAGATATAATTTTCTGTAAAGTCCCATCTATCATGAAATTTTGGTTCAGAGTCTCTTAATAATCATACGACTATAATCAAGTAAGTCATTCAAACAAGTTACTCTATCGAGATCGAGAAAACATTCACTTTGTATTGTTTCTTTGAATCTTCCCATTGATATTTAAGATTGCAATTGATCAGTCTGTTATCGGCATATATGTGTACTATGCGGATTGCCTCGATATTTTCTTAATTCACAAACATTATAAGTAAAGATGAATAGTGGCTAATAGTAGAATCCAGGACGTGCATTTTGTTCTATTTAAGACTCGTTAGATGGATATACCTACATCTCAGAGTTGAAGAGCACTCCACGACTCGAACTCAAGACCATTCACTTCAAATGTCATCGTGTTATTCACTTAGCTACTGACTCCCGATATAGCCATCTGCTTATGCAATCATATGAAGTTTATATTCACTTGGTATTGTTTTCTTAAATCCTAAACTGTATCATTTGAAATAATCAACTAGCAACTAACACTACAAGTATGTTTATGAATAGAAAAAAAGCAACGAAAAAAAGAATTCAAAACTGATCTACAAAACTAGTAACGGAATAAGTAAACAAATAAAAGAAAGAAAGAAAGAAACACAATCGATTACGTAATCTTTCTTTTATTCTACAATAAAGTACTCTCTTTACAAGTGTCATGTTTTGTTTTGTTATCTTTGAGTTACGTTTTTGGTTGCTTACTTAGATTTGATTGTAGTGGGAAGATTGTTTTCTTTTTTAAAAAAAAACGGTATAAAAGTAGTTGTCAAGATGGGAACTAGAAATGATGTAATAATTATAATAAATGGGAATTGGTAGATCATGACAATGATGATGAATTTTGTTTTTTTTATTATTTAAAAAAAAACAACAACAAAACAATGTAATTGGTATATAAAGTAGACGATAAGATAAATGATGTGCGTGCGTGCGTGTGTGTATGAGTGTATGTGTTTCTTTTATTGATTGATTGATTGATTGATTGATTGATTGATTGATTAATTGATGGATGGATACAAAGGGTTCGAACAAACGGTAAAAAAGAAAGAAAAAGAAGAAAAGGTCACCAATATGCGATGAAATCAATTGTTATTTGGAATTTGAAAATGTATGTCTTGTTTTGAATGATGCACACAAAAAAGACGAATTCAAGCCGAAATTTGGTTGAAAAAATCAAAACAAAAATACGATTTTTGTCTACTGTCGAATGTTACTACTACAGGCACACATAAATCTATCTATCTATCTATCTATCTATCTATCTATCTATCTATCTATCTATCTATCTATCTATCTATCTATCTATCTATCTATCTATCTATCTATCTATCTATCTATCTATCTATCTATCTATCTATCTATCTATCTTTCTATCTATCTATCTATCTATCTATCTATCTATCTATCTATCTATCTATCTATCTATCTATCTATCTATCTATCTATCTATCTATCTATCTATCTATCTATCTATCTATCTATCTATCTATCTATCTATCTATCTATCTATCTATCTATCTATCTATCTATCTATCTATCTATCTATCTATCTATCTATCTATCTATCTATCTATCTATCTATCTATCTATCTATCTATCTATCTATCTATCTATCTATCTATCTATCTATCTATCTATCTATCTATCTATCTATCTATCTATCTATCTATCTATCTATCTATCTATCTATCTATCTATCTATCTATCTATCTATCTATCTATCTATCTATCTATCTATCTATCTATCTATCTATCTATCTATCTATCTATCTATCTATCTATCTATCTATCTATCTATCTATCTATCTATCTATCTATCTATCTATATCTATCCACACATCTATCTATCTATCTATCCACACATCAATCTATCTATCTACTATTGATGTTTGTTGTCAGTACATTATCTAAATATAGGTAAAAACAAACAAAACAAAAAAGAACTTGTATTCAACCTGAAATGATGTGTATATTTATTTAATTCTGTTTAATGAATACAAGAATACAATAGAACAAATAGATTGTTATGCATACATATTTTAATTATTTTATCTTATACAATTCTATTAAACTATGTGCATAGTAATTGAATAAATAAATAACTAACCGAAATGTCACTCAATTACAAGTTAGAAGATGTAAACAAACATGTTGTGCAATGATAGATATGTACGTTTATTGTATACACATGTATATTGAAATAAAGATTCATGATTCAATTGAATGAGTATGATAAAGTTTTGTTTATGTTTTGTTTTTGTTTTTTGAACTGAATAGATGAGTTGTGAAACTTTCATTTATTCTCTTCTGATTAAATATCATCAGAAGGGTACAAATTTCTTCTATATATATATATATATATAACTTATAGCTTTTCTTCGGGATGTCAATGTGTTCTGTTGATGATGGCATCGTTCAGAAGAAGCGTCACAACTCAATTATCTAGTTTAAAGAATAAAACTTCATCGAAATACACACCCACACACACACACACATATCGTTTCTTTTCTTTTCTTTTTTGTTGTTGTTGTTTTTCTTTTTCTTTTTCTTTTTTTCTTTTTTTAAAACTTTTTTTTTAATTTAAATTAAATTTTGTTCATTTTTTTTTATTGTAAAATGTTTTCTAAAAAATTTCATAACATTATTAGCTGGTGTTTTTAATACTGTAATAGAATTTTTATGTTTCGGTGAATGATTTGATCCTTTTCTTTGTAATATTACCATACGATCTAATCGTTCACGTTCTTTTTGTACATTTTTTTGTTGTTCTTTAATAGAAATTAATATACCAACTAATAAATCATCAACACGATGATTAATGGATGTAGATATTTCATAATAATTACATGAATAGATTTGTGCTAAATTCTTTCCATCTATATTTCAATGAAAAGAAAAAAATATATAAGAATTACATAAGAACATTGATAGGTCATTGAAATATTATAATACATATAATTACATTTTAATGAATAGTTATTACAAAGGTTGAAATCATGAGTCAGTTGAAGTTAGACCACTATGGAAATCCTGGAAGCACTGGATGACTGTTTCGTCCTAGTATGGGACTCCTCAGCACTGCGCATCCACGACCCCTCACCTCTCGAGATTCGGCTCCAGGATCTACTGGTTTCAAGCGCGAGCACTTAACCACTAGACCACTGAACCGGCATCCAACGGTGTTAATGTCTGACTTCAACCAATCCACGAAGTTGCACCACCGTATACCATTGTCTTCAGTGAGTTGATATCTCACAACGGACCCGGTTGAACTTCACTAGTAACGGCTTCTCACTAGAACTCCAGGAGTATCTCCTGAAGTCTAGCTTCAATTGACTCATGATTTCAACCTGTGAAATTTTTAAAAATCTCCACAAAACCCATCCTCAGAATAGTTATTACATTGTATTATGCAACACCGATTACCACGACATGCAATGCTAACCGGTGTTGGAGATGGTTGGAAGAAAGTTAGAGAGGGTGGCCAAAGCGGCCAAAACGTGACATCAGTTCACAAAGTCACGAACTTCTAGTCTGAGCCATGTTAGTTAATGCAGACTACTTGGTTGAGGTCCGCGTGACTATCGTAATCAATGGTTGGAAACTCTGTGTGAAATAGCTCAAAATCTATCACAATGGCGTCGGTGTATACATACTCTTTCTTCCCTTAAACCGTGAGAATAAAAAAACTTCATATCTTTCCTTCGACGAACTAATTCTTTCTTCCTGTACTATATCCGTATATGTATTCTTTCTTTGATATATTACTACCATTGAAGTAACTACTATGAATTTGATGTTCATCTTGCTGTGCTAATGAGGTTTGGCAACTTTGACCAATGTATATATGTGACTGATCCTACGTTGTAGTTGACTGACTGACATTGTATTGTGATACTATTCAGTGGTAGGTTATTGATCAAAGTAATATGCGAAAATTAAGAAACTATGATTTATCATTTACTGTGTCTAATTCAGACAAGTATTAGTAGCTCTTGAAGATTTTAAATGGCTCTTAAACTGATATCAACTTAATAAATCATCCGGAATATTGTAATATATAACATAATATCGTTGATAAAACCCAACTTTATTGATTATACTTCGAATCCATTGGTTAGACAAAATCAGAAACAGCCTACTATAGGAGATAACAAACCACAATCCAGTGGAGGAAGAAATCAGGAAGAAGCTCTGAAAGTGGATAGAACACACATTGAGGAAAGCAACAAAGTGCGTCACAAGGCAAGCCCTCACATGGAATCCCCAAAGCCAAAGGAAAAGAGGAAGATCAAAGAAGAAATCGTGCCAAGAAATGGAAACAGACATGAGAAGAATGAACAACAATTGTATAGAACTGGATATGAAGTCCCAAGACAGAGTATGTAATTTATTGATTATCCAACTTTGCATGATAGAAAATAATTGTGATAATGTGATGAAAATGACTGTTTATTCAATAAATTTTCTTGAAATATAACTAGTTACACATTGTAACTTGAGATAAATAACTGTAAATTCTATTATTTCATTAATAAATATACATCGTATATTGATGTCTTTAATATATAGCAATACTCCTACGGTTAATTTTGATTATGGTTAACTTTTGTCCAACCCTTTTACTAACTTGTTCAACAGACAATGTTATTTGGATAGTAACAATTTGTCTATTTCTATGCATGTTTATGATTACTATCTTGTCTGTATAAACGTGTACACCTGATCACATGTGATAGCCTACGCATATATTCCTCATTCTACCTTAAATACTAAACGATTAAATATCGCTCAATGAATCATTCTCTTTCCCCATATACATATATATACTTGAATCCTATTAATAGCCTTTACTGTGCCTAGCTGCGACTTGATTCGTAAGTATCAAGTCAACATCTATTCCATCATACATTTCATGACTGCTTATTTTTGTAGATTTTATGATCTACATAAACTTTTGTATTCCCGCTTTTATTAGATTTAACTCTGATCATGTAGGTGATAAATCTTATTAAGATGAAACGAAAAATTTGATCAATATCGATATGTCTGTTGGTTGCAGACTCATCCTAATTCTATGCTTCTACACATTTATTTTAAATTAAGCTTAACATTAATCTGATCAATGTCATGCATGTCAAGTTCTTCTTAGTGCAGATCGAATCCTAACGACTAAGTCACAATGTGACCACCAGTCTAGGTGACTCAACATTGCGTGCATTATGTTGAGATAAGATGGTAGTTGGAGGTATTTAACAAGAAACCCTGAACTTAGGTTTCATGCTACTTGGTACTCATCAGGAACGTGCACATGAAATCTTAAGGGAACTGATGCTCCCTGATAGTTTCGATTCCATGTCACTCATCTTCACAATCAGAGACGTTACCATGGCTCAAATAGCTCAGTCGTATAATGTCTATCTTCAACTAATCCATGAAATTGAGCGACACATCTACCATTGTCTTCAATGAGTTACTATCTCACAATAGACTCTATTGAATTCCACTGGTCACGGTTTCTCACTAGAACTCCAAGAAATACCTCTTGGAAATCGTCACTAGTGAGCATATGATGAATGAAGTAAAAAAAACAACAAAAGAACTTATGAATAATCTAGAATCTTGGAAAAAAATTTCGGGTGGTGGTGGTGAGAGAGAGCAAGAGAGAGAGAGGGAGAGGAAGACATAGAACAGAGGTATCAGCATCATTACCAAAACACTTTCAAACCATATCTTACAAGTTAGTAATTGTGACATACACATATTAATTTCATGTCTATCACATGATTAACACAATGAACTATTGATAGAACAATAAATAGGGAAAGATAAATGGGAGGAATATCTATGTATATACATATACATATATATATATATCTATGTTGCCAGTGACTTGATTGAATACATAAATAAATAATGAAATGTTTTCTTGTTTGTTATTTTTTTCGTTATTTTTTTTCTCTCTCTCTTTTAAAAGCAACAATCAGATAAAGAGAACTAAAAAGAAACAAAACTGATGAATAATTCATTAACATAACAAATGAATTAATTCAATTAGTTCAGTTTATTGTTGTACATAGATATACATCAGTGTTTTTGATAGTTAATAGTAATGAATCCATGTCATTTCATTTGTTATTCTTATTCTTAATAAAAAGAGAATGAAAATTCGTAGAATGATGTTCCGTGAATTGGTTACACTTATACATGAATAATGATTGGATGTCAGTCGGCTCAATAATCTAGAGGTTAAATGATCGCGCGCAATACTGATAAGTGCTGGATTCGAATCTTATGGGATAGGATTGTAGATGCACACTGTTGAGGAGTTCTACAATAGAACGAAATGACCGTCTAGTGCTTTCAGGTTTTCCATGATGATATAACTTCAGTTGATTCATGAATTCAACTATTAAAAATGGTTTTATTGATTGATTCAAGTGTTCAAATTCATTTCAATTCTTGATAAACTGAATTCAATTTTTTTGATTGAGATCATGAACTGATAGATGTTAGACCACCATTGTAAACCTAGAAGCACTGAATGACCGTTTCGTTCAAGTGTGAGACTCCACGATCCCTAGGCTTTCGGTCTCGCGCGCGAACTTTGAACCTTTAGACGGATTTGACTTCTATTGCAAAAGACTTTTGTAAACTGACGTAAAAGTGAACGAAGTTTTCAAATGACTTCTATGTTCCACTATAAGATAATTTTTTATGCTAACGATGTATGACATCTCTTTGAGAGTAAAATTATAAATTTTAGAACTTTTAAAGAGTATGTTATTCAAAGACTATCAAGTTGATGTTTATTAGAAAGATGTTTCAAATTTAGCAGTCTAAATAAATTAAAATCTTCCAAGAACTATTCATGAGGATAGTTATGTTTCGATTTCCTAGAGATTTAGTTAAAACACTTTATCTGTGGAAGTAAGGAATATATCGATCAACAGTTTCCAAAGTCATTGTCCTTTTCAAGAAATATTAAGTCTTCATAAGCTAATTATGTGAACTGTTGTCATTTGTTGTCTCTCAAGATGAGCAGAGAATAGGAACAAAACTTTTATCTTGGAAAAACATTTGATAAAACGCCAAATAGAGGTAATTTGCATAGGATTATCATATACCAACAGAGATTAGTCGACATTCAGCCAACAATATCGAAGTTGATATAGTGCAAACACTTTCAAATCATGATATAAGCACCAAACCTGTAGAAAAAGCTGGCAGCAATCTGAACTCAATGGCTCAGTGAATAACTTATTGGTGTCCAAAATGATAGATACTAAATTAACATTAAAATGCTAATACATTCAGCAATTCAATCAGAAATAAGGTTGAACCTGTATCCTTGATATCACTGCTGATCACAATCCATCTATTTTCCAAAAGCATCTGATTTACATCGAATATATAGTATACTTCAACAAAAAAGATTTTAGTAACTTCATCTTGGTATTATGAAAGGTTTACGTAAAGAGAGCACAAGTTATCAGTATGGGGGTTTGTGGAGATTGTAGTATTTTCACAATTAAATTCACGAGTCGATCTAAGCTGGACCATCATTGTAAACATGAAAGCACTGGACGGTTGTTTCGCCTTTCAGATGTGCGCATCCAATCCATATCGGGTGTGAGACAGATATCCACCTCAGACAATAGATAAATTGTTGCGTGTGATAATGAATTGATTGAAGTTAAACATTAACACCGTTAGGTGCCGGTTCACTTGTATACAGGTTGAGATCGAGAGTTCTGAATTCGAGTTTCGTGCACTGGATAATGGGTGCGCAACACTCAAGAGTCCCATTCTAGAATAAAACGGCCTTCGAGTGCTTCTATGTTCTCAATGATGTTTTATCTCAGATCGACTCATGAGTTCAACTGTGAGAAAACAAATTGTAAATAATTTAACTTACCTTCACTAGATACTACTCGTGTTCTCACTAAATCAGATTTATTGGCTGCAAGTATTATAGCACTGGAACGTTTACATTGACTTAACAACAAACCGATTATTTTTCTTGCTGTATAAAATGAACCACGATCATCAACTGCGTATATAACAAGATAAGCATCGGCTGTATCAACAATCTATTTAGTTGAAAAAATAAATGAGAAGAAACATTTGATACAATCATTAGAATAAAGCAAAATGTTAATTAGTGCATTATAAGCTAAAGTATCAACTCATAGGTATGATAAAGTATGATAAGAAATGATAATATATCCCGGGATTATATATGTACTTTAGGTACATTTCACTTTAAAACAGAGTTATATAACGGTTAACAGTGGAATATAGGATGCATATTTTGTCCTATTTGAGAACCGATAGATGGATACATCAACATTGCCAGTGGGCTTTAAATGTATACAGTTGACAAGTCACAAATAGGATTAAACATACATCATGAATTCAATTGATATCATTTATCCTTCTCTATATAAAATGCTTGTAGCCTGGTGGGAATGACGAAGCAATCTACAAAACAATTATACAATTAGTATGAGAATGAGTTTTATGGAGATTGTAGTAATTTCAATAGTTGAGATCATGAGTCAGTTGAAGCTAGATCACTATGGAAAGTCTGGAAGCACTGGATGGTCATTTCGTCCTATTGTGGGACTCTTCAACAATGAGCATCCACAATCCCGCCTTGCGAGATTAGAACCCATCACCTATCAGTCTTGCGTGCAACCACTTAACCACTAAACCACTCTCCGTGTTCTCCCAAATTTCAATCTTCTGAGTTCTTCATGTCCCTTTTTTCCTCTTTCCAAATTTATTTCACTGGATTATACTCTTTAAATAACATCTCCAAACCCTAATCTTCCCGATTACTGCTTATACTCATTACCTCTACCACTACGGGATTTGAATCGACAACTGCATCTCTGTACTAATGTGGTGTGGCAACTCGAACTGATGTACGTACGTACGAAGTTCTACGTTGTTACTGACTGACTGACTGACTGACTAGACCACTGAGCCAGCATCCAACGGTGTTGACAATTGTGTTATACAATTGTCAAAAGAATGTGATTAATTACTGTACTTAACATCAACATCTAGAACAAAATGACCCTATAAAAGAATTGAAAATGAGTTTTAATCGAAATGTATTGCCAACTATTTAAGCTTCCCAGTATAAGTAACGAAATTAATGTTTTGTATTATCGTTAGGAAGAATAATTTCAAAAGTCAATTAAAAGCAATCTAATATAACATTGAATTATCAGATTTAGGATCACAGATCTCCGATTTTGACTCGAAATTCACTCACCCATTTGGCCAAATAGTATCTTGGCATTTTAGTTGATCTCTGATCGTGATGAAAAATTGTAAATTTAATTCCTAATCCTAACTATCAACCATGAATCATAAACCTTATTCTTTAAACTGCTTTATCACCTACATTTAGTTAGTTCTAGTAACTAGGTAGACACTGTGAAAGTAACTTTGGCGTCGCGCATAGATTATAATGAACTAAATAAAAACATGTAACCAATTAGTTATTTCATTTTCAGATTTGTAATTTTGATAAAAATCTGATCATTTCATCTTATCAATTACCATCTGGATAGTAATCTATAGATAAGATAGAAAAACAATTACAATGTATATAACAATGAATGAAATTGTAGGTCTATAAAAATGATTAATCACTAAGAAAAACGGGTGGGCATATTCAACGTTTACAACTTTTCATCAATATCTGTGATAACAGTTAGTATTACTTCGTCTACACGAATGGGACATTAATTTACCTTAGACGAATATCTACACTAGACTCCTTCTCCCAGTGTCTATTCTACAAGACAACAACACAATGCAGATGATCAAGAACACATCATTATTCTCGTCCACATATCAAACTCTATAAGGAATATAAAAAACTGACTTTCAGTCCTTGTAGAAATCATGATACATTGGGTCGATCAAGTTAATATAGAATGAGATAAATCGTTCATCGTTTGTTGTATACCCAATATGATTAAACAAAAGTTTTCATGGATTCGTATTGTAGTGAACGAGAATACACAAGTAAGGATTAATCGAATGCATTTGAATACGAAATTACAGAATCTTTTAGTAAAATCTGTGTACCATACAGTAAATTTCTCATTTGCAAAATATCAAACAATTGTCTCAGACTTCATTGTTCTTTCGTTTCCATATCAATCATTCATTGTTCTCGTTCTCTTGTCTTTGATCTTCGTAAACTTTTGCCTACAAGCATTTCACTTTCAATTGATGGTACTTACTACTTATAACTGTCGACATCAGTAATACATACCACAATACTAGTAAGAAATAATTCAACATTCCTTATTTCAACTCATAATAGAATTGTGGATGCATACCTTTGATGAGTCCTATCAAAGAGTGTATCATATTTTCATTACAGTATACTATTCATTCATTATCTTAAGTTATTTCATGTTATGAATAATAAATGTAACAAACTCTACAGAAGCATTTCCAATAATAAATTTTATTTTTGTTATATCCCAAGTGAATAGGAGCAAAAAATGGCATTTCAGACGTTTCGTGACTTAATATAAGCCACTTCTTCAGAGTATATAAAATACATCAAAAGATTGATCAAAACAAAATGAATATTTTATTCAGCTGTTCAAACTCATGTATAAATGTAACAAATTTTCAAGTTAATTTTTCACAACAAAAAGAAAAACAAAAGGCTTTTCAAGCAAAAATGGATAGTAGCTAGCACTGGAATCTAAGAAGCGCGTTTCATCCTATTTGCAACTCGTCAGCTGGATGTACTTGCATCTTAGAGTTGATGATCACTACGCGATTCGAACCCATTACCGTTCGCTTCAAACGCCATCACATTATCCATTTACTTACTGAGTCCTGATAGCCACTTGTTTGTATAATGGGATGGAGTTTGAATTCACTCACGAAACGCGCGTCCTGGATTCTACTGCTTAAAAAGCTTATGACTTCAGGCAGTATCGAGGCAGTCCGCACAGGATTTTTATATACCAACAAGAGACTCATCAATTACGGTCCTAAATAACAATGGGAAGATACAAGTTATATCAGAAGGGGCTTTTGTGGATATAATAATAATTTTTTATGGTTGAGATCATGAGTCAATTAAACCTAGACCACCATGGAAAACCTGGAAGCACTGGATGTCTGTTTCGTTCTATTGTGGGACCCCTTATCAGTACACATCCACGATCCCGCCTCGCGAGACTCGAACCCAGGACCTATCAGTCTCGCGTGCAAGCGCTTAACCACTAGACCACTGAGTCTATCGGCATCCAACGGTGTTAATATCTAACTTCAACTAATCCACGAAATGAAGCGACACATAAGTAAAGCAACGCCAATTCAATGTAAAAACAATAAACTCTACAAAATGATAATTCGTACCATCATGTGAATGTTTTAGTCGGTTTAACTTTTCCTAAATTAAAAAAAAGAATAGACAAATATTTATACTACTTAAATTCTTTTATTTCTAGTTTAATTTAGTAATATTCTTGTCTATTTTTCGTAACCATAACACTGTAGTAACTATGTCACAACATTGTTATCATAAATGGATCAGCTTGTTTATATTGAATACATATTTTCTAGGGAACTAAATTATTGCCTGTTTGACATAGCCTTGTAATGATTAACTGAATGGGTGGTATAACTACCTAATTACATGCATGCACACATACACACAAACATACTACATACATACATAAACATGTATATCAAAGGAGAATAAATCAGTAATTTCGACTACGGAACAATGACATGATTTGTTGAGATTATTTATGAATAGGTAAAGAAACAGGAAAACACAAGCTGATCAGCTGATAATATTGACGGAAAATTCAACATAATTATGCATTTATTTTGTTTTGAAATACTAAATAAACATGTAATAATTATCAGTATACGGTTGTGGAGATTGTTGAGTTAGACTATCATTGAAAACCTGGAAGCACTGGATAGGTGTCTAATCCTAGAATGAAACTTTTCAATAGTGCGCATGCACGATCCCGCACTTAGGACTTGAATGCAGGATTTTCGGTCTCGCATGTGAATACTTGGAATCTAGACTACTGAGCCGGGATCCAATGGTGTTAATGTCTAAATTCATTAATAATTACAATGTAGAGTCACCATTTTAGAAGTTTGATATCAATAAATAATGTGTATTTCGATGAAGCAAAAATACAAAGCGCGTTAGTTTTGCGAAACGAATATTTCAAACATTTAAACATAGTTTGTATTATGAACAGAAGTTTGTCAGATAATCAGTGGAAACTTATGATCGTACTGGAAATAAGAAAAAGACCTTCTATTTTATGCTGTGAATGGGTTTCTTTGAAACCACTATGATGAAATCCAGTAGTTTTCATCTCAAACTGTAATCCATTTACAATGTAACATGATAATCATACATGGCTATAGATATTTGTTACAATCTGGCGCCTAAACATAATCTTTAGATGGTGGTTTGAGGTAGTCGATAGGAAACCCTAGATCCGGGTTTCGTGTTACTTGGCACTCGTCAGCAAGGTGTACCTGTAATCTTAAGAAAGCTGGTGCTCCCTGACGGAGTCGACCCTGTGTCATTCAGCTTCACAGTCAGAGACGTTACCACTGAGCTATCCGGGCTGCGGGTGGTGGCCACATTGCAGCTTGGTCGAAAACATTCGATTCGCATTAATAAGGACTTGATACACATGACATTGATCACCACCCAGTGATCAATCAATTGTGAAACCTAATCTTTCTCAAAGCTTATTACTTATGAGTTAATTATTATTGTTAGAGTAGGATTTTTGTCGAAAATTTCCATGATATGATGAATGAATTGTCCAACCCTCCATGGTTTTCAGTTGTTGATCAGTAAAAGTCAGTCTGTGATAAGAATCTGTTTGAGTAATAAGAACAGTGTATTACTAATGATCGAAATGGGATCAAATGTATAGTGTTTAACATATTCTCAGTATTACACAAGCCGATCGTAACTAAATAATAAAGGAGATTCTACTATAATACTAAAAATAATCTTTTTTTTTAATGTAAGGAATTTTCAGATTCAATTCGTTTTTGTATTGCTTGTTTGAATCTTCCTATTGATATTAAGGACTGAAACTGATCAGTCACTTATTGGCATATACGCGTCCTGTTCGGATTACCTCAATATTGCCTCAAGTCACAAGCATTATAAATAGAGATGAATGGTGGATAACAGTGAAATGCAAGATACACATCTCATCTGATTTGGAACTGGTCAGCTAGATATACCCACATCCCAGAGTTGAAGTTCAATGCAGGACTCGAACCCAGAAGGTACATCGAGCTGACGAGTCCTGAATAGGACAAAACGCGTAGTCTAGATTCCACTGTTAGTCACTATCCATTTCTACTTATAATTTGTAGATTATTTAACAGCACTGAAGAATACACATAACTTCTAATAATGTAATATTCAACAAAGTTTCATATTTAACTAATCAAACGGCGAGACTATAATTTATGGATGAACCAATCACGTATAAGATAACAAGTCTCAGATTTTGGCGCGAATTTCACTCATCCATTTGACCAAATAGTGTTTTGGCATTATAGCTGGTGTTAGTTCGTGATGAAAACATTAAGTCTCTTTCCTAACCTTAACCATTAACTGTAAATTATAATTCCGATTCCTCATACTGATTTATAACCTTCATTTGGTTCTGGTTATTAAGTGGACACTTTCAAGTTCATTCTAGCGTCGCTCTAAGGTCGTCCACAAATTATAGTCTCACCGTATTTTCTTTAAATGAAACCGTAAAATAGAAAACATCATATTTTATCTAAATGACATTTATCCCATCTGTTCAAAAATTCAAATCTTGGCGTAGGTTTTAAATAATGCGAAAATACAAAACATTTTTTAATACATAAAGATTCCTAATTTTCATCTTCCTTTTTTTCTCAAGTAAAATCATCAAATTGTTTTATTTTTAATGTTGGAAGTTGGTGCTATTCAATAGGAAACTGTAAGCCTAAGTTTAGTGCTATTTGGCACTCGTAAACATGTAATCTTGAACATGTAATCTTGAGAGAACTGATGCTCCTTGACGGATTCGATCACGTGTCAGTCAATTTTACAGTCAGAGACGTTACCACTGAGCTATCCGAACCGTGACTAACCTCCTGTAAGACAGAGGTGTATAAACAATTGATTTATGACTGGGTGGTGAATAATATAATGTATGTCAGGTCCTTCTGTCAAAAATGCATTTCATTTATGAATCTGTGTCATTAAGATTAGAGTCATTGTTTTCTTTTTATGTTACAAAGTCTAGAATAGCAGACAAGTCGTTGGCAAACATTTAGTTCTCATCATAAGTTATTACATCAATCAGAGTAAAACTAAATGTTAGCAGTTAACTGAAATCAAACGGTTATTTTAATCTAAACGGGGTTTTGTGGATAATATAGTGATTTCATAGTTGAATTCATGAGTCAATTGAAGCTAGACAACCATAGAAAACCTGAAGGTAACAGACTACTGTTTCATCCTACTATGGGACTTCTCAGCAGTGCGAATCCACAATTGGTTGAAGTTAGACACTAACACCACTGGATGCCGGACCAGTGGTCTAGAGGTTAAGCGCTCGTGCGCGAGACCAATAGGTCTTGAGTTCAAATCCTGCGTGCGGGATCGTTTATGAAGACAATTGACAATTAATTTCATACAACAACATATCAAACTGTAATTTGTTGACAAACAAAATGTAAACTAATCACTGAATAAGACTGTATCCTTCAAGTGGTTCAGATATAGTTGTTTCTCGGAATTTACCAATAAAACAATGTTTGAACATTTATAGAAATCAAATTTTTAGTTTTTAGATGAAAGATCAAATACAAATTGCAATGAAATGTTCGTTTAAAGACAACTATGCACATCATCTCATCAATTTTTGGTTTTGATTGGTAATATGTGTTGTGTTCTATGAAGGAATTGAAATTAATCTAATGGAGCATTATGGAATGGCTGATTTCTTGTTCACGTTTTGAAGTGTGTAAACACAAGCCTGTTGAAGTTGCAGGATATAGGCATATCTGAATGATGAGCGCCAAATACAACGAAATGCACGTGTTGCATTCCACTGCTAGCCACCATCCATCTCTGCTTATAATAATGGTGACTTAAAGAAATATCGAGGCAATCTGAACTGAACGTGCATATGCCAATAACAGACTAATCAGTTCAAGTCCTCAATGTCTATGGGAAGATTCAACACAACCAATATATGATACTTTGCCTATACAAGTTAATTAAGATTATATTAAAGAACAAAACATAACGTAATCATTTGTATTTAACTTGATTTAATTAATCATCATCATCATCATCCATCTGACTATAAACCGATTCTACTAAACATTGATATGTATGTATATAACAAAAGTTTAGGAATTTGTCTTGTTGTCATTATTATTATTTCGACACATAAATATCGGTACAAGAGGACACCAAATATATATGCGCCACACCATATTTGTGTGTGTGGGCTGTGATACTGCCCGGGTGCTCAGACCGAAACAGGTGATTTTCTTAGGGGGCCACAACCCGAGCCTTTGACCTAAAGGTCTGATCCACAAGGCAGTTGAACATCGTGAGGAGATACATACCCATGGTAGCCGGTGACCAGCGATTGGTTCATACGTCATTTGCTCCCGCAAAATACTGGAGCCCATGTGCACCATTGGTTTGGGATCCGGTTAAAGTGCCGGATATTCGCTTTTCGTCCTTTCATTTTCGTAAACAACACCCCCGCCACGAGAAGGCAATGAGTTGTTAATTCTATAGGAAGATTCAATTGAATTCAACTAGTCAATTATTAGGTAAAAATTATACTTTTAACTGTAGTCTAGACCACTGATAGAATTTAGTTTCTTTTTTTTCTTTTTCAGTTAGAATATTGTATAGTTAAAATCAATAAGACAATAACAGTTGACATGAATATTTCCGGTTACATAATATATATGCAGAAAATGGTTGTAAGAAGTTTTTGAAGAGGAAGGTATTGTAAATCAGTAGACAAAATTAGTAATATATAACAATGTATATATATATATATATAATGATAGGAAACCATTTTCACCTACCACAGAGTTAAGTTCATCATCTGTATCTTCCACATTTATATCTGTTTCCATAAATACAAGACTTGCTTTCAAGTTGTTAATTTCAACTCTTACCGGATTTAATTGTTCATCACCATGAACTATATTAAAGAGAAAAAAAGAGTATAAGGCAAGTTAATTAAGAAGATAATTTGATGTAGAATAACTTTAAAAAAGAAATGAAAACTGTTATATCCTAGTGAAGATTCAATTACGGGTATCTTCGGAGACCTATTCATGGACTAATATTCTTATTGTATAACTATTCAGTATTGCTGTTATGCTGGTTGTGTGAAGAAAACACCTTAATCCCATTAAACCTTTGTATAGTCAGCAGCACAACTTTTCCCTTGGACCTTGGGTTTACTTCCTTTTAGTCTTACCGTTCTTCAATCAATCTACCTGGCGTGGTATGATCTTGAGAAACAATTATCCCAGGTAGTAAGTGTTATATCCTAGTGAAGATTAAATTAAGGGTATTCTCAGAGACCCTTTTAATGGATTAATATTCTATAAATATTCTTATTGTATAGCTATTCAGTAACTCGATTATGTATATCTATATTCCTCTTATTATAAGCTTCATTTTGATCTATAGATTATCATTGTACGACTTAATGTTCTTAAGTTATACTCAGCTTATTAATTTCTGTCTCCCACGTTCACAACCACTTTCGGCTATATTTTGTACGAGTGTTATTTTCTATTTTATGGCGTGTTGTGGTCTGTTTGTTTGGTATATAAACTCAAAATGTCTGAAATAAATGTTTCGCATAGTGGAGGCTGTTACTGGAATTCTGGACTCAGCCAAACGGGTTAGGCGAGCAACGGACCAATAGGACGCTAGGCTGATCAGACCGAACGAACGTCATTGCTTTAGTACAGTATAAGAGCGAATAAGTCGTATTTTGATTGGCGAGTAGATTACGTGATAACTAGCGGGTCATAAAGTCGCAACCAAAACCGCTAAACAGTTAGGAATGCACTTTAATATCGAATGGTACATGTAAGGTGAGACTGGGTTATCTATATTGTAGACGTGATACATCTTGTGAACGCAAATGATTTTATAAGGAATTGATGAAAATCACATAATTTTCTAGTGAATATCACGAACTAATTAACCTTTGAAAATGTGGAAGTGTTGGATAGCTATTTTGTCTTACATATGAGATTCTTCAATGGTGAGCGTCTACATCCTCATTTAATGTTGAATTCAGAATTTTCAGATCTTGAAGAAAGTGTTTAATATTTGAACCAATGATCTATTCTATAATAGCTTGATTGTTTAACTCCAATTCATTCATGATATTTTATGATCGTCTCACAGTGGTATTGATGAGTAACTACCATACACTCGACATTGTTATACTATACTAGGATTCTGAGAATCAGCTCACGTAATCAGTAGTCACTGATCTCATCAATATTATTTTGGAGACTGTTGGACTTTATAGTCAACATCACGGTTTGATGATAATGAAACGACTATTATAACACCGAAACCAGTGTTTCTACACTACTGAATAGTCCCATACTATAATAATACAACTATACAATCCCTTCTAGTTTTTAATGATTATTTAACTAAGACCAAACTGTAATGTTAACTATAAAACAATTACTATTACTATTGATACTTATTAAAAGTATTATGTAACAGAAGTTTATAAAAATTAGAAATATTTATAACTTCCCTAGTTTGGTTATCTTCCATAATGTTACCAGTTAAATACAAGAGAATCTGAGTTTCAAATTGTCTAACTCATGTACCTGCATATCAGAGTTAATGTTCACTCTAGGACTCGAACTCAGTACCATTCACTTCAAACGCCGTCGCGTTATCCACTTAGCTACTGAGTTCTGATAGCTACTTGTTTGTGCAATGAGATTTTAGTTTCAAATTGTCTAAATAGTGCTTATCAACAATGTTTTATAGAAATTGTCAGAATTTGGCATCGTACGACTGATTAAGTAAAATGTATTAAAAAAATGGTAACTTCAAAACTAAAGTTTAATGATCAATAATGAAAGAACAAAAACTATGACCGCTATTAATGATCATAAACAAAAAAAGAACACTTCTAAATGAATGATGCTCTTGGTTGATAAAAGATACACAAGATGATCAATATTTGTATAGTAAAACACTTTACAGATTTCAAAACCTTTATAGCGTTTTCTTTAGTTATCAGTATAGGGTTCTGGAGCTGTGACCAGTGAAGCTAATTCGTGTCGGGTAGAGACAGGTAACTACCTCAGAGCAATGAAGGATGGTCACGCAATTTCATGGATTTGTTTAGGTTAAACATTAATACCGTTAGATGTTGACCGGCTCCATGGTCGAAAGCTTAAGCGTTCGTGGACGGGACTGAAGGTCCTGGGTTCGAATCCTGCGGGTGAGATCGCGGATGTGCACTACTGAGAAGTCCCACAATAGGACGAAATAGCCGTCCAGTGCTTCTAGGTTTTCAATAGTGGTCTAACATCAATCGATTCAAGATCTAAATCATTTTCTTTCATTATTGATATTAATCAGTCAGTTATGAACAACAAAGAATCTTGAATGGTTGTTCAGCAGTCAAAAAAGCCTTTTTACTTATTACACAACTATAGTTAAACTGAATATTACTAAGGTGAAAATCGAATAGACTCGAAACAATGAACAGCAATAGTTTAAGAAAAGTTAAACACTTTATTGTTATCAATGTTTTCAGGGTAAAGAAATTCAATGATAATTTAAAAAATAGTAAAGATTTACAAAATAAATAAGTAATGAATTTGGGATATTATGGTATATGCTACTTATGTCGACAGATATAAGTATTAGGTAACACCAATCAGAAGTGGTCAACTTGAAGAAAATAGAAAGAGAAATAGAAGGGACTTATGAATTGAAAGAATCAGACAACGTGTGAATGCCAATTCATAGACCAATTGAAAATGAAGTGTTCATTATATGATTCTCAGATTTTACTAATAAATTTTGTAATTTTGTATTCAAATACATCCGATTAGTGAGATGGTGGAGAACGAAGAACCAATCTACATCGAGGTCTACAGGAGAAGCTATGAACCACATGTAGAGAAGTTCGAACACTTCACTTCTACTTGAAGTTTGTGCCGATGATGTCGTTCAGAAGAACGATGAAAGCTCCACGACTAAACCATCCAGTTCAGAGAATAAAACTCCATCAAAAACATTCCATTATTCCCCATTTGTGTTCTCGTTCACTAAATTATACTTCTCAACATTTAGAAATCAAAGGTTTGATTAACCAATACACAAATTATGTATCAACTTATCTAATATTGTAGTCAACTTTCATATTGTTCATTACGTCTATATGACTTAAAGTTGTTTAGAAAAATTCATTTACATCAGATGGGTTTTTGTGGAGATTGTAGTAATTTCAATGGTTAAGATCATGAGTCAGTTGAAGCTAGACCACCATGCAAAACCTGGAAGCACTGGACGGTCGTTTCGTCCTATTGTGAGGCTCCTCAGCAGCGCACATCCACGATCCCATCTCACGAGATTCAAACCCAGAACCTATCGGTCTTACTTGCGATTGTTTAACATCTAGACCACTGAGCCTATCGGCATTCAACGGTGTTAATGTCTAACTTCAACTAATCCACACAATTGACCGACACATCCAGCATTGTCTTCAGTGAGTTACTTTATCACTTGTATAAACATTTATGCTTCAGTATTGCTTATCATTAACACCGCTGTATGCCGGCTCAGTGGTCTAGTGGTTAAGTGCTCACGCGCGAAACCAATAGGTCCTATGTTCCAATCTCGCAGGGGGCGAGGTCGTGGATGCGCACTGCTGAGGAGTCCCAGACTAGGACGAAACGGCCGTTCAGCGCTTCTAGGTTTTCCATGGTGGTCTAGCTTCAACTGACTCATGTTCTTAACCATTTAAAATTCATTTACATTGATGGCTTTTTTCCTTTCTCTTTTTCTCTGTTAAATTCAGGTTGTTTAATTATCTTTACATTTTTTTGTTTGTTATTTCTCATGTCAATTATATACTGCCTCATAGAATTTAATTCCTGTATTTCTCATTCGAACCAATATAACACATATACACACACACACAGACGCATGCATATACACATATACACACACACGCACACAAATATATCAACAAAATGAGGATCTAAAACTGTTTTCTCTCCATCCCCAATTTTTTGTTATCAACCAAGGAAACCACATATGGCAGAGAAATGTGATAATTTTCATAAAAAAAACTGTATTGTTTGTTTTAAATTATATTGTGATTAATGATGATATCAAAATGAGATCAACTTCGTTTTGATGACATGGAAAAATGAAAAAAAAAATGTAAAAATTAAAAAAAATTAAAAAAAAAAGGAAAACAGAAAAATATTTCGAAAGACGCAAAAAAACACATTTTTGTATTTGCATTATGTTTTCTGACCAATTATGTCAGATATTTTGTTGTTTACTCAATAAAGATAAGGTAGAATGATGATGATGATGGTGATGGTGAGAAAATTGTTCAGTGTATAAGTTAACTATGATCTTAATTCAAAAAAAATTCACCTTAATTATGGACAGTTAAATTGTGTATCAGTTCACATTTTGTGTGTGTGTGTGTGTAGGTGTGGGTAGGTAGGTGTGTGTGTGTGAGAGAGATTGTCTGGCAGAAAAGGGAACAGATTATCATTTATTTTCAGAAGGGATTTGTAGAGATTTTAGAAATTTCACAGATTGAAATCATGAGTGGATGCGCACTGCTGAGGAGTCCCATATTAGGACGAAACGACCATCCAGTGCTTCTAGGTTATCCATGGTGGTCTAGCTTCAATCGACTCATGATTTCAATCTGTGAAATATCATTTATTTATTTATTGTAGTTTTACAGTTCTTGATTGACAATTTTATTTTTATTAAAAGTCTTGTTTTTTTTGTTGTTGGCCACATTTTATTTCTTCATTTCATTGTCTACTGATTATCTCCTTTTTATTTTTGTATCAAGAAGAGAGTATAACAGCTCATGTATATTTGATTTTGTTCATATATAATTTGGTTGAGCCCTTTTATTAACTTATTTAACAGACATAGTCA